AAAGCCATTCTTGCTTAGAGGTTGCAGATGCAAGACTTTTTATATATAGGCATTTTTTGAGAGGCTTATCAGATAAGCAGGTAAAACGACAATACAAACTTTGCATGGTCTGCTTTTCTGATGTCCAGGCTAGTTATCTGTAAGTCACTGGAGATTCTGGGTTATGTAAATCTAAGGAAAAGCTAGTGATTAGAAAGTTTTATGTCTCATATCACTTTAATTCCTTTTCCCTGGAGCTCCTAACTACAGTTAATTATTCAGATACAAAAGGCATCTTTCATTGGAAAACAGGAAGAGAGCCAAAGGTAACTATCTCCAGAGAATAGGGAAAGACAAAAGAAAAAAATGAAAAAAAACTTTTGCCGGACAAGAGGGTGAAATACAGCTTTTTACAGAAAAAAAGTTTTAACCTGCTAGGTGGCTTCAGGCAGCCATATCATCTACAGCAAAGCTAGCAGGAAATTAAAAATACATTGCTCATCTGTATGACATCAAAAATTAATGATTTTTAAAATTAATTAAAAGCAAGAGGAGCTAGATAGTGTACTTAGGTTCTCCCTAGGTAACAGCAGCATGAATTTAGATTTATTATGTGTTCTTCCAAATTGAATCTTTTATCATTAAGATGCTTTATCACTTTATTGCTATAATGTTTTATTTTTAGTCTCAAAGTTTATCTTGTCTATTTTTATTATTTTGTAAAGTAGCCTGCCTTGTTCAGGGATTTGTTATACACAGTTTTGACCAAGCATAGTCAATAAATGAATAAAAGTATAAATAAAATCAAAAGAAATTTCAAAAACAAAAATTTTAAATTTCCACGTGCATATTACACAGCTCAGTTGAGGTGGCCAGTGACTCTTGTTAACATGTGGCTATACTTACTGGTATTCTGGTAAATATTGGAAGAAATGAAAGACAGAAAGAGGGAAGGAGGGAGCAACAAGGAAAAGTCAAAAAACAGACAAACCCGATTTGTAGCTGATGCCAGTTTCTGTGTTGTAAGTACTCCCACCATGGCTGATTTAAGACACCAACATGCCTATCCCAGAACACAGAGTTTAGAAGGGATGGCCACAGCTGGTTACCATTGGCTGTAGCAGTCTATTATCTTAAAACCTGTTTCTGATCTCCTGGGAAAAGTTCCAAGTTATATAATTATAATTGCTTTATATAGACACTTAAAATACCCGTGTAGGCATGATTAGTGTTATAGAAAAATTATTCAGAGTATAGATGTTATTTTTAAACTGCATTATGTTTTCTGGCCCAATTTTGAGGATGTCTTTTTTTCTTTACCTCAGTGTATACAAAAGCCTGTGCCTTGTAGAGTATATTTACAAACTATGTTTTCTGCAATCTGTGAGTTCGCTAGAAATGTCTCTTACGTTGTTCTTCAGGAGTTTTCTCCTTTTTTTCAGGCATTCTTGTTGCCTTCCTGTGAGATTGCTGTAACAAGAAAAGTAGTTCAAGTGTACAGAAAGTGGATCCTCCAAGACAAACCTGTGTTCATGGAGGAACCAGATAAAAAAGATACTGCCCAAGAAGATGCTGAAAAATTGGGATTTTCAGAAACTGATAACAAGGAGGTAATCATATCACTTGTCCTCTGAGTTGGGAGTATATATACTTTAGCAAAGTGTACCTACTCAGTCAAGGGTCCCACTTAGTGGGATGCAAGCAGGAAGATCTCTTTTAAACTTATGTGATGCTCTGAAATCATGGGTTCTGTGAGAACTTGCCTCACTGGAGACATCTTCAGTGCTGTGTTCTAGATTGGCAGTTATCTCCCAACCCTTAGGCCAGGGCCATATGTATATAGGATCTTAGTCACTACTGCATGAGAGTTGTTTAATAAGCCTTTGTTCTTTATACTTCTCTCTGTGAGACTAAAAATGTCACTCACTGTCTACTCCTTGACTTGTTTAAATAAATAGCAGTTGGAGAAACTAAATTTAGAATGTTTTGGCAGACTTTTTTTGCAGTACACTGTCCCAGAAGCATTTGGATATTAAGCCTTTGGATGAACTAGCCAAGTAAACATCAAGTGTTATCTGTACTTTCTGCAGTGTTAAGTGATGTCTTCCTGGAGGGGGCACGTTAGATAAAGCTACAAGTTGGATAAATCTAAAATGACAGTGGAGCTCCCTCCTGAAACAAAAAAGAAACTTAAATCATATTTATACTCCTGGTGTGCTATTTTGAAATTTATTTCAAATGTTTAAAATTCTTCACTATAGACTATTTAAAAGATCTATAGTCATTCCATAATTTCAATTTTCCAATATTAGTGAAATCATTTTAATAAGGACTCTTGAGGTCAAAATAAATAGGTAAGCAAAACATTCATGTGTCTTAGCGGCCTATATTTCAGGCTCCCCAGGGATTCGACAAACAGCTTACTGCTTCAGCACACACTAAGTGATATGTATTGCTTTAGGTGCTGTAGGTAGAGTGGTGAGCAAATAGTGAAAATAGGTGCCCGCTTAGAACCTGTTTTCTTGTGAATTCTGGTGAGTGCAAGGAATTAAAATGTGCAAGCATATACTTCTCACTGTTAACAGGCTGTTATCTTTTAAAGGCCTCATCTGAAAGATCAGGTCATAAGCGATCTTCTAGTTGGGGACGCACATACTCCTTCACAAGTGCCATGAACAGAGGGTGTGTGACAGAGGAGGACAATGCAAATGTGAAAGCCGGGGTCCAGGCTATGCTACAGGTATGCTGCCAGCCAGAACACAAGGACCCCCACCCAGCCCACTGGAGAAGTCATTTTGAACATTTGTTTAATGGTGATAATGCCACATAAAGTATAGTGATATTTTTATCCATTGACCATAAATAGCTCTTAAATTGTCAGTTTGTTTTCTTCCTAAAATTTTCTTACCTAAAATTGGTAAAGATTTTTTTTTTTCTGGCCAAAGAAAGATGTAAGAACTGATTGCAGTTTTTTTTTAAGGAATTACTGCACAGTGAATGTGAAATGTCTGAGATTTACATTTTAAAAGTATCTTCTGAACATATACAAGTAGTTACTTGGACTCTACTTGATGATGATATAAACTTATTAGTAATATTATTCTTAAAAATTGCCCATGTTTATAAAGAACAATGACTAATGTAGTAATTTTTATTACTGTGAATGAGTCTGTGAAATAGAATTGATAACTCTTGGGAACTTTGGAAAGAGCAACTTTGGTTTGTAACTTAACCTCCCCAGACCTTAGGATTTTATCTTAAAAATGGGAATTGGAAGATGACTTCTCAGTCCTATCTGACTTGAAGTTGTTAGGAATATAAGTGAAAACACAGGGTGCATCTCATTCCCCTGTTCCCTGGCCTCCAAATCCCACCTCACATCTGAGTTAATAACTGTGTCCAGTGAAGACTCCCATATAGAGGCCAGGTGTTGAGTCTCAAGGAAGCATGGGAATGGCATGCATATTACCCAGTTTTCAGTGATGCTTTTGCTTTTGTCTATCTCTTGATAGGATTCATTATCATTTCAAGTTAATTAGCTGTTTAATATATAAGACTCATGTATTGTCTCAATTTTCATTAAAAATAAAATAATTTGAAGTTAACTTTTTTTTTTAATGGTACTGGGGCTTGAATTCAGGGCCTCATGCTTGCTAGGCAGGCACTCTACCACCTGAGCCACTTTGCCAACCCTTTTTTGTGTTGGGTATTTTCGAGATAGGGTTTCTTGAACTATATGCCTGGACAAGCTTTGAATTATAATCCACTCCTGATCTCTGCCTCCAGAGTAGCTAGGATTACAGGTGTGAGCCACTGGCACCCATAAAATTAACTTTAAAAAATATCAATATGATTTTACTTGTGCAGTTTCAGAGAACTTTGATGCAGCTCTTCAGTACAGAAAACTTGGAGGAGTCCTTCTTCCTTGGTAGTTCTCTTCCTCTGAGTGGACTACCTTCTCATAAGCTCTACAGCTTTAAAATGTTTTACATAGGATTTAAATAGTTGTTTTTGTTCTCATTGTATCCAACACCTTGGTCCTTTACTTGGTTTTAATTGGGAATGTGCAAAAGTTTCAAATTCAAGAAGCTCAATATATTGAATTAAAAGGATTTGTATCACAACATGTTATTTGTGGTATTCTTTTAAAAACAGTCATTAAAACTACACTAAAACTATTGTTACTTGTTATTCAAAATTTTGTTTTCTTTTTTTCCTACTTGAAGATTAGTAAATTCTTCACATTGATGGTATCACCTGTTATCAGCTGTTATAGTGCTTAGTGATTTTTTTCCTGCAAGGTTGGGGCATGATACCTTTTTCATCTTATAGAAGATAACCTTAGAGACTGTCAACATTTTAGTTTACCTGCTTGAGCATGTTTGATTTTTTGTTGTTGTTGTTGTTGTTTGGCCATACTGGGGCTTGAACTCAGGGCCTACACCTTGAACCATTCCACCAATCCTTTTTTGTGATGGGTTTTTTTGTTTTTTGTTTGTTTGTTTCTTTTTTTTTTTTTTTTT